CTGCTTTTGTCCCCTTACTGCTACCCTCCCCTCCAAAGACCCCTTACCCTCCCCTAGCCCCTGAGAGCCACGTTTGACTGTGCACCCCGTCCCTCCCCCCAAACAAAACCAATGAAAGTTAAAATTATTTACACTTTTAGCCATTTAAAAACCCAATAAAATAAGGTTGCATATGTCCTACTGGGGATGTGGGTATTAGCAGCAGCTACAGCTAGCTTGGTACTCTGCGTGCAAAACGAAAGACAAAGAAGACAGACCAAAATACTGCACCATTACTAGGAAGCGTTTGCTGGGGTTGGTGTTTGATTGTGGCGGAAGGCAAAAAAACCCCAGCCGCAGGGCAGGGGCGTCTCCCACTCAGCCAGCGAAGGCCGGGCTCTAGAAGGATGGAAAGGATTCGTTATTCCAGACACAGCACATTAACACTGACGCATTTCCATCCCAGTCAACACAAACATCTAAAAACCCACTGCACGTTCACCGTGTGAGTTCTTCCTTCTTTCCAGTGACGATGGAGGAAAAGGGGACGCATGAAGAAGACCTAAGACATAGATGCTGCTGTCATCACTGCCTCCTCCTCATCTCCTTGCTTTGGCAGCTCAGCAAGCGTGGGAGAGGGGGGAGCCGGAGCAGCAGGAGACTCTTGTGCCTCCTGCTCCTCCCCAAGCCCCAGCTCTACATCCATTTGCTCCAGCTCCCCCTGATCCAGTAGCTCAAAGTCATCTGCTTCCTCATCCTCGGGTGAAGCTGCTGTCTCTGTTTCCACCACTTCGGTCTCTGACAGCTGTGCTTGGAAGCTCAGTTTCTCTTCGGGCTCGGTGGGCAGGAACTCAGAGAGGGAAGGCCCCTCGCTGGCGTCCGAGGACCGCAGCAGGGCAGAGAGGGTGTTCTGCACCGCCGTGGTAATGGCAGTGGTGACAATCTCCTCGCTCAGCGTGTCAATGCAGATGCCTAGGCCCGGGGCAGGGGCAGTCTTTGGCTCTGCGTTGCCTCCTGCCGCTTGCCCGCTCCCATTGAAGTGCGTATTTACAAAATGGAGAGGAGACGCCAGGCGAAGGATGGAGAGGTCAGAGTCTGCGGCCTCCTTCTCTGCCGAGTCCAGCTCACGGGCAGCGTGGGCAAGCTCAGGACCCAGAGGCACACCAAACGCATCTTCATCGCTCTGTGGTCCCAGGTCTCTGGAATGATATTCTTCCACGGAGGGAAACTCTGCCAGGTCCTTGGAAAATGACTCCTCCGGCTCGCTGTGCAGGCTCTGCTGATCCAGGTCTGAAAGACACCAGCATTAAGGCGCAGGTTCCCTCACCTCGACCCAAGGCACTGACACCTCCCGCCCACCTCCCCCCAGCTGACACACCAGGGCTCACCTTTGGGCATCCTCCCAGCGCTGGGAGCACAGCAGGAAGGGGTCTGCAGTTATTCCCTTCTCCCAGTGGCACGACTCACGTGGAGTGTCCCTTTCCTCATCCTGTTCTATGCGCTCTGTCCTCAGAGAGGACTTCCTTCTCCAGCTCACACTCTCTGCATCTAGAGCCCTCCACTAAGACCCACAGGGTCAGGGAAATTGTGCTTACAGCAAGTCAGCTGCCTGTTCCTCCCCAGACACTGAAGTGACCACATCTGAGTGGTTGCCTTCACGTTCCTCACCACTAACCAGTCTTTGAGCTTCTGACAGGGTGGGGTGTCCAACCTGTTTCACCCAACATCATATGGGTGTGTGACTGTACCACGCAGTTATTTCTGCGTGACTTTGTGGATGGCCTTTCTCCCTTGCTGAGACAAGAGAACATTGTTTTGTGGGGCAGTAATCAGAGGCAGATGTCCACTCAGGACCAGCTCATGATCAGCCATGAAGTCAGGGCATGCTGCGCTGCTACTACTGCTTCCTCCTTTTAATGCTCTTCCCCCTGCAAATAGCTAGATTCTCTCCCTGTGTTTGGAGGGACAGTTTTTCTGGGACAAAATACTCAGGGTCAGGAAGGCAGCGAAGCGTCCCATCACGTACCTTCAGAAACGTCCGTCAGCTGTGGGGTGGTAGCCCTTGAGACAGAAAAGCCCCCACTCTCCAGGATGGAAGCTTCCTCATCAGAGAGCTCAGAATCTGTGATTGACAGTGCCAGGGCAGTCTTTTTCACATCCACCTGCATGGGATGAGGGCAGAGGGACAAATTCCTGGGTGTCTGACTACCAGTGCTGCCTACAGGCACCTCCGCACAGACCAGAAGTCCTTTGCTGGAGGGACTCTGCGCAGGGACAGTATGAAAGCAGGAGGGGGCTGGGCAAAGTGCTCATTGCGCTGCCAGGGAAGGACAAAATGGCTTTCCTGCAATAATTCACTGCCTGACGCTTTGCCTGCCCTCAGTGAGGAACCCAAAAGAGCCAGCACAAGATGGGATCAGCCTGTAGGAGTCTTAGAAGGCTTTGATCCTTCTTCCTCTCCTGGCATCACCAAGGAGCAAGACACCCCTTCCCTTTTGCATTCACGCTGGGCCCAATGAAGCCTTCTACAAGTAGCAGCGGTTCAAGTATCTACATTCCTTTGGAAGCTGAAGCTTCCCATCTTACAGCCCAGCTACATGCCCAGAGCTCCCGTAAAGGACCACTTGGTCCATTTCTATGGTGCACATATAGAAAGGTCCCACCCAGTCTCACTGAGAGCAGGGAACTGTGTAAGAGACGCCAGTGCTGCTCATCTCCCTTTTCCAGTGGTGAGGAGCCTCTGCACGTTACACCAGGACAGCTGATTTCTTTAGGAGACGCTCACATTCTCTTAGCATGAAGCGTAACCATCAAAGCAATTCCACAGGTCTGCAGGAGGCTGGAGCATGGCTCGCCCTGTCCTGCTACTGCATCACCAGCCCTGTGGCCTTGAATTCTCAATACCCAGATTGTAGACAACGGCCTTCATCAAACTAAAACCCTCCTTCCCTTAGGATTCTGCAAAGAAGTGACTTGTTGCTCTGCTGTTCGTTATCAATGCAGCTGTACTCAGATGACCCCTTGGCTCTCAAACTGCTACAGACCAGAGAGGAGGGACTGGTTTCTGCAGAGCTCTTTGTGCTCTTACCACTGGGGAGAAGCCCGACAGCTCTGCCTCACTCTCACTCTCTGTCTCTGCTGTTGGCTCATCACCTGCTGCAGGCTCACTCTTCCCTTGTCGCTCTATGAGAAAGAGAAGAAATGTGAGACTGAAGGAATTTATGCCTTTATACATTACTTTCCCACTACTTGTGCCACCCTGTGAAACTGCACGTTTCCCAGAAGCCCAAGGTTCCCAGAGACAACTGTAATCTGTTGCTCTCATTTGCTATTCCCAGGATCACCTGCCCAGTTGCTCTCCCCATAACCCTCAAGCTTCAGTCTGATTTCCCCTGCTCCGCTGCAGCCTTTCACCACACTGTTGGCAGACCTGCTCTCCCATTGTCCCTTGTCGTGGTTTAACCCCGACACAGGGTTAAAAGGGCACCATGTCCTTTTTGGTGCCCAACGTGGGGCTCAAAAGGTTCGAGATAACGACAGATTTGATTGGAATGTGCTAAATCGAATTTATAGCTGTTATTGTTGTTTAGCTATTAATTGGCAGGCTCCTGTGCTTGCCATGGGGCCAGCTTGCCTCACTGTATATATTAGAGCTTGATAGTGGCTGCTTTTTGCTTTCGCTGCTTGCTGTACTGCTGCACTGCTGATCATCCTACTCTGCTGTACCTGGGAACATTTTAATAACAGCAATGGCGATGTGCCTGGGCTGGCAGATGGCCGGGGCATCCCTGCTGTTTCTGTGCTGCTGTACTGGACAGATTGGAACTCCAGTATGAACTTGAGTCAAAGGGACTGTGACCTGTGGATGAGTCCACACGGGAGCAGAACACCCCGAAGTGCCTGTGGCTGTGAATAAGTTCACACCAGAGCAGGTACATCTCAAAGCGTCTGTGGCTGTGGTTACGTCTGTGCTGCAGCAGATATACTTCTGAAGGGATTGTGGCCCAAGGATAAGTCCACACTGGAGAAGGTACACCTTGAAGCATCTGTGGCTGTGGACAAGTCCATGCTGCAGCAGGTACATGTTGAAGCATCAGTGGCTGTGCATGAGGTCATGCTGGAGCACCTCAAAACGTGTGGCCGCGGATAAGCCCACGACAGAGCAGGTAAACCCCTGGAGGGACTGCAGCCATGGGTAAGGCCATGTTGGAGCAGGTTTACTTCTGAAGGGACTGGGGCTGTGGGTAAAGCCACGCTGGAGCAGGTGTATCTCTGAAGGCACTATGGCCCATGGAGAAGTCCACACTGGAACAGGCGCACCTCAAAGCGACTGTGGCTGTGGATAAGCCTATGCCGCAGCAGGTACATCCCTGGAGAGACTGTGGCTCATAGGTAAGGTGCACCCCTAAGGGACTGCAGTCTGTGGATAAGTCCAAGCCAGAGCAGGGGCAAGGGGAGGAGTTCATTGCAATGTTAAACGCGATGATCTGGTCCAAAGGGACCGGGGTGGAGATTGTAATGGAAATACCTCTAAATTGTTGTAACCCAGGATCTGAGCTGCATGTTATAGCAATTACTATAGCAGGAACCACCTGAATCAGTGAACCACCTGAACCAGTGGAAGACAAGCCTTACAAGAAGCAGCGTGAGTGCAGCAGTGACGCAACCTGAGCTGGCTTTGGTGCCCAGTAA